GAAGGGAGAAGCCCCCCTCGCCCCCCCCCCCGTCGCCGCAGGGCGCCTCCTCGGCGAGCTCGTCAACGAGGCCGACCCCTCGGCCGCCGACGCCGGCTTCTACGCGCTCGTCGGCGCGGCCGCCATGCTCGCCGGCGTGACGCGCATGACCATCTCCCTCACCGTCATCGTGTGCGAGGTGTCCAACGACGCGGCCTCGCTGCTGCCCCTCACCGCCGCCATCCTCGCGGCCAAGCTCACCGCGGACCTCTTCAACGACTCGCTCTACGACGCGGCCATCGACCTCGCCCGCTGGCCCTACCTGCCGCCAAAGCCGCCTCGGGGCGCCCTCTGCGCGTGCGCCGAGGACGTCATGGCGCCCGAGCCGGTCTGCCTGAGCGAGGTGGAGCACGCGGGGGCGATCTCGCGCGTGCTGCGGACCACAAAGCACTCCGCCTACGCCGTGGTGACGCACGGCGGCAACGGGCGGCGCTACCTCTCCGGCTGCGTCCTCCGCTACCAGCTCGAGGCCCTCCTCGCCCGCCGCGCCTTCGTGCTGCGCCGCAACCCGTCGCCCGGCTCGAAGCCGCCGCCGCCGTCGGCGAGCGCCGCCACGTCGCGCTCCTCCTCGCCGGTGAGCTCTCGCGGCCCGAGGAGCATCCGGTACGCCCAGGAGCACCCGTGGAGCGCCCGAGGAGCACCCGAGGAGCACCCGTGGACGGCGGGCGGGGCGGCTCCCCCGCCGGCGGGGGAGCCGCTCCCGCAAGCGGTTCGAGCGGCGCAGGCTCTGCGGGAGCAGACGGCGGCGCTGGCGAGCGCGGCCCCCTCGCGCGCGCTGCAGCCCTCGCCGCGCGAGGGCGAGCCGGCTGGCGCGGGGCTACCGGCGGCGGAGGGGGACCCCTTCCTGGCCCCGGGCCTCGCGGGCACCAGCCGGACGGCGTCGCCGCTGGTGCCGTCGCCGACCCAGCCGTCGTCAGTTGCGCCGTCGCCGCCGCCTTCTTCGCTGCCGCCGTCGCCGCCCTCCTCGCCGTCGCTGCACCGCTGCGCGCGGCAGCAGGAGTACGCCGCGTCCGAGGTTGGGGAGGCGAGCGTGGAGCTCGGGAGCGCCGAGGCGATGCGCCTGGACAGGAGGGACGAGCGACACGGCGCTGGCGGCGTTGTGCCGGCCACGACTCCCCTCACCCTGGTGCCGAAACCCGCCCGCCCTAGGCCCCTGGGGAGAGCTCTCTCCCTCACCCCCGCCTGAGGCCTCCCCGCCGGCAGGTCGACCTGATCCGCGCGAGGGGCGCGCGCCGCGAGGCGCCGCCGCTGCCGCCGCAGGACGAGGAGCAGCTGATCGACTTGCGACCGGTGATGGAGCTCTCTCCCGTGGCCGTGCTGCACACCACCCCGCTGCCGCGGTTGCACCACCTCTTCCGCTCGCTTGGCCTCGCGCGGCTGTGGATCATCGACACGCGCAACCAGCCGGTCGGCGTTGTGACCCGCCACGACCTGCTGCCAGAGGCCCTGCGCCGGAGAGTGCCCAAGCACCGCGAGGCGCCTGCGTGCGCGAGAGGAGAGCGCCGCACAGCCGCTCACGCGCCGCTGAGCTCGTGGCTGTGCGACTAGGCGCGCCTCGCGGAGGCTTTGCGCGGCCTCGTGCGCAGCCGCCACAGCCGGACCGCGGACCGGCAGAAGCCCCGCCAGCCGAGCCGGCTCCCCCCGCACGAGCACCGCTCGCGGAGGGGATCGTGGCTGCCCTCGCCGGAGCGGCGCGCAGTGGGCCACGGCTGGAGCCGCGTGGAGGCTTGACGCTTCCAGCGACTCTGTCAGATCGTACGGCGTTTGACGTGTATGTCATAGACGTGAGACCCTCTCAGCTCATGAGTCATGTGTCGATGTGTGCGGTGTGTTCTATGTTGTGTGTGAGCTGAGGTCGTGGGGTGCGGGGCGCACGCGGCTCGGTGACGCGCCGCGCGCGTCTCAATCTGCTACCTGGGGTGCACCCCCCACCGTATCCGGTGTGCCCGGTGGGATCTGGCATCTCGTCTGGGAAAATCAACGTCGCACGCTCGGCTCAGAGTCAGACGCGGAACGAAAGACCTGTCTTTTTCTTTCTCACAGCCCGACTCCTCTTTATTTGGAGTTTGCCGTGTGAGACTGAGTGCTGAGACGCGAGAGAGGGCTGAGGGCGCATCTCCTTGACGCTTGAGATTGACACACGGTCGCCTGCCCACAAGTCTTACCGAGGACAACGGTTCTCTCTCTCTAACCTGCCCTCTGTTCTACACTATACGCACGCAAGAGGCTTCTGAGATTCGCAGTGAGCACGGAGTGTACATGTGTACCCCAAGTTGTACCCCCTCCCCCTCACGAGAGCACACCGCCCGGATCTGCCGAGTCGGGCGCAGGCGGCTGGGCGAGGCTAGGCTGCGCCGCCGCCACGAGGCCTTCCCTGCTGACGCCGCCGGCCGACGTGTCGAAGCGCGCCGCGGCGTCGCCGGCCGCCGGCGAGGCGTCGCTGCCGTCGCGCGGCCCTCGGCTCGGGACAGCGGAGAGCGCCTGGTAGGACTGCGTCATCGCCAGCAGCCGCTGGCGCTGCAGGACGGCCCGCTGTCTCGCGACAATCGAGCGCGCCTAGAGGAGAGTCCCGTGTGGTCGGCAGACCGCCGGTTGGTGCTCGCTCGCCGGCGGCCTCCGCGCGCCCCCGCACTCGCTGCGGCGGTCGCGAGGCCGAGCGCGAGCAGCAGCGCGAGGAGAGCGCCCCCGCCGAGGGCGGCGTGGAGCGAGGGCGGCGGCGGCGGGGAGAAGCGGGCGGGCAAGACGCACGACTGGGTGGTGGCGGGGCGGGGGGCGGAGGCGCAGAGCGCGCTGTCCGACGCGTTTGAGCGGCCCGACGCCTCGACGCATGCCACCTATTAGTTATTGATGAATGACGATGAACTATTGACTTGGTGGACAGAGGACGCCTCGACGTGTCCCACCTGGCGCCGCTCGACGCCTGCGGCCGGGTCGCACGCGCCCCAGTCGCCCGCGCGCCAACGGAACGAGAAGCAGGCGAGGCGTGTCCGCACCTGAGGGACGGGGACGGGGCGCAGTGCCGGGGCTGGGTAAGGGCGTCTACGCCCTTGGGCTGAGCGGGGCGGGCTACAGGGCGCGGGCTGGAGTCGGCGGTGCAGCACCCACCGTCAGGTGCACCTCGCAGGCGGACTCGTCCGCGGGGGGGAGGAGGACGGCGCCGGCGCCGCTGGCCGCCTCGGCGTCGCACTCGACGAGGACGGTCAGGCGGCGTGTGCTGCGGCCGCCCTCTGTGCAGTTGATGCGGGGAGGCGGCTCCGAGCTGGGCTTGCGGCGTGGGCCCGGGAGGCGGAACCAGCCCGGCTGCTGCAGCGGTGGGGGGGGAGGGCGGAGAAGTGAGCGGGCGGCAGCACGGAGTGGGCGGACGTGTGAGCGGGCTGGCGGGCGGTGTGTGGAGCCGGCGCCGCGCCTGCGGCGAGAACCGCAGCAGCGGGCTGACGTGCGGTTGACGCTCGGTTGACGAGAGCTCCCAGCGGGAGGAGTGCGGCTGCAGTTCGCCGCCTTTCTTCGCTGGCAGCGTGGCTGGCGCGAGGACGCTGCACGGTGCCGTGCAGGCGGCCGCGCTGCGCTGCGGCCCCTCCTCAAAGCAGCCGCCCCTGCCTGCCGGCCCCGGTGCGACCGCACCTCGCACAAAGGCGACCGCCGCGCCGTGCTGGGCGAGGTTTTCGTCGTACGGCTCGCACACGCTGGCGTTGACGCACGCGGCTGGCCGGCAAGCTGCCTCCGCGACGCCGCAGAGCGCGAGCCGGAAGCTGAAGCGCTCGCCGTCAGCTGTGAGCGGCGCAGCGGCGAGCGGCGCAAAGTCGTAGGTCCAGGCGGCGCCGGTGGTGTCGTAGCGGGTCAACCCGCAGGGCGGCGAGCGGGGAGGGGGCTGGAGGGGCGGGTGGAGGGGCGGGTGGAGGGGCAGGGGCGGACTTCTAGGCGCCATGGCGGAAGAGAATACTGTCCCGGTTTGCTATGTGTACGCCGACTCAGGGTGTGTGGCAGCCAGCTGGCTGTGTGTCTTGTGAGCCTGTTTGTGTCTGTGTGTCGCTCGTGCGTGTCGTCATCATCTGTCCAGCGTCCACCCATACCGCGTTGGTGTCCAGTCCGAGCCTGGCTGTTCTTCACCTTTCTACCTACCTACCTACCTTTGCTGTTCACAGCTAGGGACGGCATATGCGGCAAAGTCAAACCACCCCACCACCCTCCCTCCCTCCCACCTACCTACCGCAGCAAACCTTCGGCTCCCGCTCAGAGGCTCGCCGCGCCCGTGCGGCGCGCCGAGGCGGCGCCGAGGCCGGCGCCTTGCACCCGGCCCGCGGCCGGCACCGCCTCGCCCCACAACTGACCGCCCTGCGGCCCCTGCGCAGGCGTACCAAAGCGTCGCTCAAAAAGCGACGCCGGGTGTGGGCTGCTACCTTGACCCGGTTGAGCAGCACCCCGTCCCCATCCAGGTTGTTGGTTGCTGCACCAGGTCCCGCACTATGTTCTATGTAGGTGCATTGCTTCAGCAGCGTGCACCTACCTCGTCCTCGATCGACGATCCTGTGGTGTCGGTTGCGCAATAACCTTTTTGCCGACCTCCGAGCCCAGATAGCGCGCCGTGTCTGATCCTCTCATCTGCTTCCGGGCCTGGCGGCCCGCCACAAGGACGTAGGTGAGAAGTGCCCGCCGAAACATCGGTTCAAACGACGCTCACACAGCGCCAATTTGGCCCCAGCTCTTTGGCTCTCTCGCTCCGCTCGCCGGTAGGTGAATTGCTGGCAGCACCCCAGCACCGGGGGGTCCTCTGAGAGCTGTTGGTTGGTGCTCTGTTCACAGCACAGTGCGGAACAAGGGTTGCAACATGGTAAAGAACTCGCTCGCGGGCGTGTTTTCTGACGGCCCCGAACGACTGTCTTTGTTTGGCTCGCTCGCGCCAGGGCGCTCGTTGCTTGCTCCTCCGTCTCCTTGACCTTGTATCTTCCATTCCATAAACTGCGAATGATTGACTGCGCCTCTGTCTGGTTTCTTAGCTCCGGCCAGCACTCGAGTCACAGGTTGACGGGATCACCTCGCCGTCGCCGTCGTCGCCGTCCCGCCTCCGCCTCCTCGCCGTCACCGTCGCGGCAGCTTCCTCGCAGTCCCCGCGGCCTCCTCACTCACCATCACACCTCCTTTCGCACCTCCTCACCATCACATCCCACATCCCACATCCACATCCACATCTCCTCACCACCACCTTCATACCTCCTTCTCTCACCATACCTCCTCACCCCCTCCATCACACCTCCTCGATCACTCACACTCACACCACCATCACACCTCCTCCATTGACTCCTCCTCCTCCTCCACACACCTCATCACCATCACCCCTCTCTCCTCCAATACACCTCCTCACCATCACCATACTGCATACATCCTCCACACCACATAACACCATATATCACCATGTCGCAGGAGATAGCGGAGAATGACCTCCAGAACTCCAAGTGCTCCAGAATTGACCCGGAGAATCACCTCCAGCCAGACTGCCCCACCTCAGCAATAGTGGCACGTAAATAGTTCCCTGACTGCTTGAGCAAGCGCGGTGCGCGAGCTGGGGTAGTCACCCTCTTCATGTGCTAAGTCACAGCCCGGTGTCGTATGACACCTTCACCCCAAACTTGTGTACGAGTTATTACGTGCACCCTACAGTCGTCTGTATATGACGACACAGTCAGATCACTCCAATCACTACCACACACCCTCACTTCATCCTCCCATCTCACACCATCCATCACACACCTATCACACCTTTCCATCACCATCACCACCCCCCCACACCACCTCCTCACCGATCACATTGTTTAATATGAGGCCGAGGGCGGTGGGGGTGAGGGCGGTGGAGGCGAGGGCGGTGGAGGCAAGGGCGCCGGAGTGGTGTGTTTTTGTGGATGTCGGCGGTTGTGATTGATGGGGTTTTTAACGTAATATGGTGAACTTGTATGGTTTGGGCCCATGGATGTGAGGTTGATGACTGCTGGAGTGCAACCGCCACCAACGTGCGAGAGACTGTTCAATCACGAAGGCACGCCCACGCTCGGCCACGGCGGCCCGTAGAGGAAGATGTGCTGCTGCGTGCTCGCCTTGACCGACGTGTAGCCCAGCGGCCCGCCCGCCATGCGCACAAGCTCGCGCCCCGAGCCGGCGAACGCGTCCACGAGCGCGCCCTCGCGCCGCGCGTTGTAGCACAGGTACAGTGGCGCCGCGGCCGCGCCGAGCGTATTGAGCACCTCCCGCAGCCGCGCGAGCTCGAAGTTGCTGAACGGCGGGTCGCACAGCACGCAGTCGAAGGCGAAGTCGGCCGCGGTCTCCGGCTCTGGCCGCTCGAGGTCGAACGGCCGGAAGCCGCGTAGGAAGCCGAAGCGCTCGTCCCGGTCCAGCAGCAGGTACGGCGCGCCGCGCGCCTCCGCCTCCACGGCGAGCGAAGGCGCGCACAGCAGCAGCGGGCGGGAGTGGCGCGCGAGGAGGAGGTCGAGCAGCGCCGCTCGCGTCGCCTCGTCGAAGAAGTACTGCTCGAAGGCGTGCTCCTCCGTGACGCCGGCGCACTCCGTCGGCTCCAGGTTGGTGGCTGGGTGCGCGGTCGGGTACGGCGTGCCGGAAGGCTGCAGGTGATGCCTCCGCTGCTTCCGGTTGAGCGCCGCGAGCGGAGAGACGGCGCGGCCTATGTGCAGCGGCGCACCGCGCTGGCCCGGAGTGGGGTGCGCAGGCAGTAGCGCGAGGGCGGCGACGGCCGCGAAGAGTGGGATCATCTTGCTCCAGGAAAAGCACAAAGGCTGTACTGCGATGTATATGTGTGAGCGTCTTCCCGCCCGGCGTGCTCAACTTCGTTCACGTAAACGCACAACTTCGTTCACAGCCTTGTTATTGAGAAGAAAATACCTCCTATGGCGCTGTGCGCTGGCCTGAATAACGTGTGGGCCCTCAGCGGAGCTGGGAAGAGGACCGCCGCAAGCAGCGTGGCGTGGAGCGGTTGAGCATCCCTCCGGGGGCCCCTCTGCGCCGGGGAGGCGTTGTTGGAGGCTAGGACGCAAGCGTCCGGCGCCCTTTTCAAACTCGGGGCCCACTCCGCTACGCTCCGACCCGAATTTGGAGGGCCTGAAAAGTTTAAGGTGTTGCTGCGCAAAAGGGTGGGGAGCCGCGGCGGCGCCGCAGGCGCGGGCGCGCAGTGGAAGCACGCTAGCCATACACATTCACGCAGAGAAGCTGACGGTCGGGGTCGTGACGGCTCGAGGGTGCGCACACTAGCGGCCGGACGCGTCACCCGCGGACGCCTCACCCGCACGCGCACCCTCCAACATCGCCGCCCCAACGGCAACGCCCTGCCGTCAATCTCGACGAGCGCCGCACACCTGCGCGGACAGTGGGCAGACGTTGCCGCCTTGTGTCCTCGTGTGCCCGGAAAGCCTCGAGCCGGCGCGCACCGGTGGCAGCGCAGGATGAGGCGGCAGCAGTGGAGGGTTGGGGCGCATTTGAGGCGCTGGCCCCGACGCGCCATTAACTGGGTCGGGGTGGTTCCTCACCCCTCTGGTTTCAGTCAAGCGGGAAGAGTCTGTGCAAGGGGGGCGGATGGGGCTGGCTGCGTCACCTTGGAGCATGAAAGGTTCCTACAGTAAGGCTACTCGAGTACGCAGCACCTTGGCTTGGCCCCCGAGCGGGGAGGCGGTCGACGACGCGCAGCATGGCGGTGAGCGCAGCCTGACGACGCGTCTTGATGGACGGATCCTTCTGCCGGCTGACCAATTCCGCCCACCGCTTGACCGGCGGCTTCGTCACCAACATGCGCTCGAGAGGCGGAGCAGCGATCCAGTTCGGTAGCTATCTTGTCGCGCAGCGCATCGTCAAAAGGCAGGTTGTTACAGCGTCGCGCGCGTCCCCGAGGTCACGCAGGAGGCTCTCCATATGTGTTGCAATAGCCCCCGGCTGCGGTTGCTGCAGTGCTCCCGTAAAACATATCTTGGCACCAGCTGAAGGCTTGGCGCTTGCCCCCGTCCACGGCCCACATCACGCAGTTCGTGCACGGTATTCGGATTTTGCTATTTGTTCGTGTGGGGGTATATTGCAGATTTGTCAATGGTACCGCGTCTGCGACGCGGGCGCCTTGCGAGCAGAGCCCTTAGCCACCCTTTTATGTCTTGCGCGGTCAAAACAAAACCCAGGACCCAAGACGCACAAGCTCAGACAGTCGGAGAAAGGGATAGACCGCAACGACAGTCAGAAGTCAGCGCTGGGTCCCAGGGCGAATGCGATGACAGCCTCTAGTGTGAGCTCTAGCTAGTGAGCTCATCGCTACTATATGCATGCAGCGAGTCAGGAGCCGACCGACCGACCCTCGCGTCCGGTGCTCACCGACGGCCGGGCGGGCCACCCGCCCACGCGCCGCCTACGCGCAGCGCGTGCGCCGCAAACTCGCCCGCCGACAGCGCCGGCCAGTCGCCATCGGCCGTCGCGAGAGGCCTGCCCGGCTGTCGCCACGGGGCCCCCACGAACACCACGCGTCGGATCCTATGCTTTAAACGTATCATGATGAACGCACACATTCTAATCATTCACCATACCATCCCAATATCACACCAAACCAAACAACACACACTATTATTTAAACCACATTCTACCTCTCACATACATCCCTACCTCACCCATCCCACCACCCATCCCACCCCCTCACCCATCCCATACCTCTTCATCCCACCACCTCACTCATCCCATTATCCCACCTCCACCCATCCCACCACTTCCCTCCTCACCCACCCCACCCCACCCATCCCACCTCCACCCATCCCACCACCTTCATCCGCCGAAGCGAGCGCGCCGGCGGCGCCGGTGGGGAGCTCCGCTTGCCGCACGCCTGCTTTTCGCTGCGCATGCTCGAGCCCCCGGCGAGGGCTTGTGCTGTGAATAGCAGGCGTGGTCTCTATACTCGCCAGAGAATGGGTTATCCGGCGCTCGAGGAAAAAAATAAACCATTCTTGCCCCGAGTTACTTCAAAACCTGTAACGGCGAGAGAAAACATTGAAACACCTCCTACATCCACATCTACATCTCCTCACCACCACATTCACACCTCCTCACCATACCTCCTCACCCCGAAGCATTCTCCATCGCACGTGCTTCCTCAGTCACTCACGCTTACACACGCCATGACACCGCCTCCCGTATAACTCCTCCTCCTCCTCCTCACACCTCCTCACCATCCACCATCCACCATCCACCAAGATCCACCAGGTCAACCACACCTCCTATACGCCTTCCTCACCACCACCATGCATCCTCCTCACCACATCACACCAGATCACCCCATCACACCATCCTCCATCACACACCCTCCCACCTTCACATCACACTTCCACACACCATCACCACCACACGACGACACCATCTCCTCACTCATCACACGACCCCTTCATTCATCATCCCCATCCCATCATTCCTCGCACCCACACCCCATCACGACACAAATCACAAAAACACAACCCCAACTCAACTCCCCTTTACAACACATCCTCCTTCCCCGACCCACACCTATACCCACGTCAGTTAATTACATGAATACACCACACACACACCACGAGCACACCACACCACGACGCGTCAGGAACGATGTACCCCTTTGCACCCCGCGATCCGTCCCATCTTGGTTGCTGGTTGGGTCTCATAATCTCGTGTCGAAGTGAAGAGTGGCTTGGTGAGGAGACATGCCGCAGATGACAAACACGGTATGATGTGTAGCTGGCGCACACGCCCGGCGCACGATGTACGACGTGCTAACATATCGCGCGGGGGAACCTGTGCACGGCGGCCGACAACCATAGGCTCGAAATTGCGGCCTT